AATAAGTTGTCCACACACAGATGCATATTTCAATGCATGCTTTCTCAAAGTGGGTAATTCATCATTGTTTATGTAACATTTATAGAACACAAGCAGTGGGAGGTTGTTGTATGTGGCTTTCAGTTCAGTTGAATGATTTCGTGTTGTAGGTTATTAGGCATATCAGCTGGTTCAACATTGAACAGTGTAGCAAAGATGTTCAATTCCATTTACTTTTCACATCCTCAAATCTTACATTAAATGCCTCAATTAGTTTTGCACATTCATAGAAATATCAATGATGAGAGAGAATACTAGATCAGCTACCTGCTACATGCCCCCTACTGGGGATCCAGCCCAAAACCCAGGCATGTGCCCTTACTGGGAATCAAAACGGTGACTTTTGGTTCATGGGTTGACGCTCAATCACTAAGCCACACCGGCCAGGCCCAACTGTTAAAATTCCAATAACTGTACAAGTCATTGTTAAACAAAACTATGATTAAGAATTAAATTATATAAAGTAAAAATTAAACAAATAATATGACAAAGTTAATAATTACTCCAAACTCATTTCCTAAATATTCAGCACATTTTACTCTGTGGTTAATTACACTTATTATATTTATGTATGTATGTATGTACGTATGTATGTTCGTGTGTGAGAATAATATAGAATTGTAGGAAATAGTATCTTTTCCCAGCTTTTTATTCAGTGACAATACTTTGGTTGTTTGAAACTGTCCATGATAGGAGTATTTACACCAAAGGAACTGGCAAATCCTACAAAGCATGGCTTTCTCTTTTTTCCCTGAGTAACTGTTAAACATTTACCAGCAAACAACAAAGTCCATTCATTATTCTGAATCAACAGATTATTTCAAAATGCAATTCACATGCTCAGTCCCTATCCAGAAATTAAAATTCAGTAGAACAGGAGTAGAGTATATACATGTGTATTTTTTTACATGTATTTTTAAAAAGACCATCTCTCCTCCAAAAAAATTTTGATACACACCTCCACCTAAGAACAACTACCTGAGGTATCTAAAACAATATTATGTATCTACCATATTAGATGCTAGAAAGAGACATACAGAAACCTGCATTACTTTAAGACCCACAAATAGGTCTCTGCAAACTCTAAGTAAAACTGTGACACAGCTTTTTTTTTTTTTTTTTTTTTTTTTATCAAGGACCCAAAAATAGCCATAGGAAAGCTTCTTTAGGTTTTAAATTATTAAAGAGGTTGCTGCTTATACTATTCAATAACTTTCATACAAAGACTACAATGAGACAACTAGATATCCACATGCAAAAAATGAGGTTGGATCCTTTCCCAATACTATCCTATCTAGTAAAAGACAAAAAGGGTAATTAACTATACCTCTGCTACGCTACCCATTGGCTATCAGGGTGATATGCAAATTAACTGCCAAGAAAGATGGCGACTGGCAGCCATGCAGCTGAAGCGAACATGAAGCTTGCTTGCTCCAGTGATGGAGGAAGCCAAGGTTCCCCACCTGCCACAGCCCAGCTCTGAGCTCTGAAAACAACAGCTCGAAAAGCAACAAAGTTTCAATTATAGAAGCTAAACAAACCCCAGATACCTGCTTGCAGCCAGCCGCGGCCTCAGCG